TTTCATACTCCTGGATATTACAAAATATAGGTCTCTAAGTGGTATGAGCTGGTAGTCTTTACAGCTAGTATGCAAATTTATGGTGCTGCAGTCGCTGATAAATTAGACAATCGAAGGGGCATACTAAGAAGACGATTCTATAGACAACATTGCACACCTGAAATGGGTTCTTATACTAAAGATTTAACATCAGTTTCAAGTGATTTATCGAGGGTCTTTATACTCGACAATTCACCAGCGGCRTACAGAGCATTTCCTGGTAATTAAAAACATTTTRATTTGTTTTAAAATATGTTTATTTCAAAATAATATTTATTCATTACATTTTTCAGACAATGCTATACCAATCAAATCTTGGTTTTCAGATACTTCAGATACAGCATTGTTAAACCTCTTACCAATGTTGGATGCATTACGATTTACAGATGATGTACGCAGTGTATTAAGTAGAAATTTACACAATCATAATTTATGGCAATGATTTGTTTAATAAAACCTGTTGAATTACTTATTAAATAATATTTTTGACGATTTCAATGATATAATGAGATTATACTAACTAACTTAACTGACTTAAAGCGCAAATATTTAATTTATATTAGTATAAAAATTAAAAAAGGATACTTTTTATGTCAACAGCAATACATTAATGTTCATTTATTTATTTTATGTCCATGTGTTGTGAATTAATATTTATAAAATTTAAAAGAAATTTGTTATTTTATAAAACATATTTAATTAAGTCTATAGACTGGCCAAGTTTATATTGATTATAATAATTGTGTTTTTATTATTAGGTAAATAAAAATAAATTATCTATTGTAAGGTTCTAGTCGCTGTTATCTGTAATATGTACTTTACAATATTAATTATAATAAGTAAAATTAAGTTAAAGTATTATAAGTACTGAACTGTATAGTAGTACCTATGATTAATTCATTTTAATTTTTCATTCGTAAAAATTTATAAACTTTAATCATTAATGTGAAACATATGTATTCACTTGATTTTGATCAAAATTATAGATTATAATTTCCTTACAATATTTATTGCAAATTATTGCTGATTACATAGGTTAATTTCTCGAATTCTGATGCATATCTTTTAGTATTAAAATGAAAACATATTTTGTCAATGCACTCTTTTAAAAATATATTTTTATTGTTGATATTCAATAACCTAATAAAGTTTTAACTTAAACATTTTAAGTCATTTTTGTTAGTTTTTATATAAGAAGAAATAATTTAAGTAAACTTTTCTTGTTTTAATATTATTTTTTAACTGCAAATTAATTGAATCATCAAATAATTTAHGTACGCAATTATTAATAAAACAAAATATAAATATTATACATTATTAAATTTATTAGACTCGTAAATCATGGCACCTAGCCAATAAAAAATAAACTTAGCATTTTTTGAGAACTAAAAAAAATTATTACAATTGTAAGCATTTAAATAAACCTAACTTCATGATAATAATATATTATKCCAATAATTATTTTATTTGCATTTGATTTACTATTTAATGAATAGTTATTTAATTTATTATTTAGTTGTGTGCTTACTGTGTGTCCCCAAAAATAGTTGTGAAATATTTTTTCTTAATGTGATAAATATTAAGACATTTCTTATGTATAAACACTCATGTAATTTATGTATAAACACATAATTTTAAAATTATGTCCAAGAATTAATGTTATCATTGTCATTTAGTACTTAATGTGAAGTCTATGCCACCAAACCGTGATGTAAATAGATTGTCTTATTTGGTTTTTATAATTTACGTACATATATTTGTATAAATTATTGTAACCATTGTAAAGATCTTAATCTTTGTATACAGTTTTGTGGTTTTAAAAAAAATATTCATGTTACTTAATTGACGCTGTAATTTGTATAATATTATGTTTTAATGTTTTCCAAATTATTTTCAACTATTCTCCATTTTTTTTCTACTTAATATTTAATTTTGGAACATTCATTATTGTGATAACAGCAAAATATTTGTATATATTATGCAAGTTATTAAAAAGTAATATACAGTTAAATCAACTATTTTAAATAATGTTTATCAGGAGATAATTTTTAGCCAAATATTAATCTAAAAATTAACAAATCAATAATAGTTAAATATATTGTAATACAATTTTATAATTTTTACAAACTAAAAAATTATGTTTTGTAAATAAATTAATACAAGTTGTAATCCACTGTAATAAAATTAATAACTTGCAAATATTTTCTATTAAATTTTGTTTGTATTCAATCTACCTGTTATTTTTTAACATTAGCATGGACATAAAAACTGTAACGTGTCTTCAATGAAATACAAATTATGTGTTTATAATGAAATGTAAAAAATGTTTTTTATTTTAGATTTTGAATGATGTGAAGATGTCTTGATTCTGCAATGATGTGTGTAWTTGGTTTTACTTTATTTACTTTCTGCCTAGGTATCAAAGATTTGTGTAACAGAGAAATTACTTCATTCTTAATATTCAAAGACGATTACTAGTACCGAATTAGATTAGATGCTTGAAGGGGCTTAATTAAAAAAATTCTA